AAAAAAAAAAATATATATATATATATATATATATACTTTGATTCCTAAACGTCAACAGTTGGTCTGAGGAAAATGCCACATTTTAACCTTTCAGTGTTTACAAACTTCAAAGACTGAAGGTGGGAATGTATTTTTAGAGTTAAGGACGACCCCCCAGGGTAGAGTAGGAAAAAAGAGGGTATTTTTTAAACTGTAAAAGCTAGTGAATAAATAGATTGTTAAATTTGAATCTCTTGCTTCTTAATCTTAAAATATCATTCCATATTGTTGCATGTCTAATTCCATTTGTTTATATACAAATCCAACCAAGGGCCATTAGAGTGATAAGATTTTTCTTTTTGAATTACTTGCATGTATTTCATTTAGTGGTTCTTGTCATCACTTCACCTTTCATTTTTGTGGCAGCTGTAAAGATCAATTTAAAAAAATCTTTCTACCCTGTTAGCATTCATAACTTACATGCCTAGCATTTTTATCAGTTAAAAAGAAGGAAAGGGTGGTTTTAGGTTTCTCATACAGCTTACTCCAAAAGAGAAATCACTTTAAAGCTTTCTGGCTTTTTTCTCCCATTCTCCCTTAAGAATTCATTATTTTTAGAATAGTCACAGAATGTATAGATTTGTCCCAAATATATAATGAAATTTATACTTTTAAGCAATCCAAATTAATATTTAGATGCTAAGTTATGAGAAATTAGGAGTCTCAAAAATGTCTATATTGAAACTCTGAAACACTCAGCATTCACTCATATACAAGCTGTGTTAGCCAAGACAAATGAAATTGCTCAGAAAGTGACATTTTCCTACAAACATTTGTCTCAATGCACTTGCCTTTAAAGACTTATGTTTGCAACTAAAGTCTATCCGTTGATATTTTGAGTATTAGGGATTGGAACAAATGAGGTTCTACTTCAAATGGACTCAATAAAGGCCAACCATTGTAGTTTTATAACTGACATTTTTACCACTTATTTCTAAAAAATGTAGTTTATTGTCTAGCAGTCAATAGATGAAATTAGTATCCAAATAGAATATATATTTATATATACACACATACACTGAATATAATGTGGATATTGCTTTGGAAGACAGCAATTAAAATATAAAAAGTGTATGCTATATAGTAATGTAGTGGGCACTTAACTGCTGTGTCTGCCCCACAGCTCTCTGAGGCAGACATCTTCTCCACTCTGCTGTCTGCCCCAGGAGGCTGACCTGTATGAATGACATCAATAGATTGCTGTGCCCTTCCACGTGATTTTGGCCAATGGAGAGCTCAGATCACATATGGGAGGGAAGGTATGGGGTCAAGCGTATATTTCTCAGTTCCCTCTCCCTGAGGTTGCCTTGAGCTGGCCATATCTCCAAACAGGTCACTTCTCCTTTCAAGGCAGCCTGAGCTATATAAGTGTCCTGGAACCTGGTAAAATTTCCCTCCTCTCATCCTTAACAGTCTACAGATGTGGCTAACCCAGGTTTGTGCATGATCCCTTATGGTTCCACAACTTGCCCACAGTTTTGTAATTACAGTTGACCCCTGAACAATGCAGGGGTTAATAAGTGTATAGCCCTCTGTATCTGTGGTTCCTCCTGTGTATAAGTGGACCTGCCTAGTTCAAACTTGCATTTTTCCAGGGTCAACTGGAGTCACTGTTTTAGAAACTTTTCTTGAATTACCCTAATTTATGAGGGTCTGACTGTTATATCTCCATGTAAAGGAGATATAACTCCTCTCCTGGGAGGTAGCCCCATCCCCACCCCCACATTAGTACATGAACACACTCACTGACCCGGTCATCTGGGTAGAGAATACACACAAGACCAAGATGAGCAAAGAAGAATCCCATCCAAGAAACTTGGAAATGAAATTAAGAAATTACAAGTCAGACTGTTACCTTGAACAGAGGAAACATCAACCCCAAGCTTTTGGTGGGTACAATAAGATCTCAGACCCTAGGGGATGAGAAGAAAGCCAACTGTAGATGACAGGTGCCAGATCTTTAGTTTTCAAAAAGGGTGAGCTCATTCTCACCCTTGGCTTCTGGGAGACTTGCCAAGGCACTCTCACAGTTCCCTCCCTTTGACTTCACCTAGTTAAGGTTAAACTTATGCTACTTGGAACAAAAGATCCAGCATACAGCCAGCACTGTGCTTAATGCTTTCATATTAAATTCTCATTTGCAGCTCTTGATTTCACAAAAGCCCTACAGGGAAGATATCAGTATTTTCTTTTATAAGACAAAAATTGAGGCTCAAAGAAGTTAAGTAATATATTTAAGATCACACAGCTAGTAAGTGACAGAGCTAAGAACTGCACCCAAAATTATAAACTCAAGTTACAGTAAATAAATTCTTTACAGCAAAATTTTATTGCTTTTGGAGATTTAAAAGAATGTATATCTATCATGTTTAACCAGAAGTTAACTCACTGATATGCAAATCTATCAAGCCACTCTCTTCTGTGCTTAAGAATGTTTCAGTGGCTGCTATTGAAAGACTGGCATGATCCAGCTCGCTTGCCTTTCCAGCATCATCACATGCATCTTCATCCCACTAAACTCTATATTCCAGCCAACCTGAAAATGTTCCAGTTCTTTAAAATCACCGAGAACTTTTTCATTGTCACACCCTCAGGCATACATTTCTTTCTTTTGCTGGATAACTTTTTATGATCTCATATTAGCCTTAATTTCCTAAAGGAATGAGTTGTCCCCCCCACCTCTCACCAAGTCTGGGTCAGGTACCACTCCTGTGTGCTCCTGCAGCACCCTGAGCCCCCATGTCAGGTCTCTAATTCACTGAAATGTATCCTAGGCTTCTGTGGGAAAGTCCATATATTCCTGTTGTATTCCCTGTACTGAGCCCAGTGCCTGGCATGGGACAAGTATTCAACTAATGTTTATTGAATGAATGAAATAATTTACTGTATTAATCTTTGAATGTATTACCCTTCCATTTAAATATACATACATTTAAATTTTTTAATCAAACTCTAGAATTTAAAATATCTTAGTGCTAAAACTATATAATCAATCTCTTACCCATGTTTTATTCAAACTATTTGGAATTTTAATTGAGATTACTTATCTGAATGGGTTTGGTTCCAGGACCTGCCACAGATACCAAAAATCCACAAATGCTCAAGTGCCAGTCAGCCCTCTGTATCCACAGATGCAGAACCCAAGGATATGGAGGGCTGTCTATTTACTGGAAAAAATCCACCTATAAGTGGACACATGCTGTTAAGACCTGTGTTATTCAAGGGTCAATTGTATTATTAATGGTTTTACACTATGTATGTACACTTTCAGAAATCCTTTCTTAACAAAAGAATTACCATCCCACCAAATATTATTTAACCTAGGTGTTGAATTTAACTACAAGTTTCACAGGTTTTGTTTTATCATCACTGCTTTTTGTCTTCTATGTCTTCCTC